TAGGGTTTCGGGGTATATTATACCAAAATTCATGACAAGGAACTCCCAAAAATAGTATATAGGTAATTATTCAGGTCCCCGTATTACAGGGTTGGTCTGGGGTTTCGGGCTTTGGGTTCAGGGTTGAGGGGATTCCAGGCAGATTCGGGTCTTCAGGGCTCCTTCGAGGAATGTCACGGGCTCCATCACCCTAGGGCTCTGAGCGCTCAAACTTTAAGGCTTTTTGAGCCCAAAGACCGTGCTAGAGGTTTTTGGGGCTATTTTGAGCCTCAGGGTCAGGGTTCCTGAGGCTTTTCGAGATTTCCAGGGTTACGCTTTAGGTAGATTGCGGCCCCTATTTATGAAATATATCCAGAGACTCCGAAACAGCACCTGAATCAAGTCACACACCTTACACACTAGAGGGATCTTTATCATGAATTGAAGGTGTATTTGGGTTTTAACTCGTTTAAGGCTTCCTTTACAAAGTTCCTTCAAGGGGCTCTTTCGGCGGGTTCTACGGGGCGTTGTCGCTTTAGGCCTTTCTTGGCTTCAGAAATTGTGTATGCATTTCGGCATGGTCGACGCATATACCTGAAAACAGAATAGCAAGCCCCGTACAGTATAGCTTAGGTTCTACTCCTTCGTAAAGGGTGGGCTGGTGGGGTCGTCCGGCGCATCGCGTGGCTTTGCATCGTTTTACCACGCGCCCCAGCGACAACTAGATCATCTCATCAGCGATGTCACCCTCGCCACGCGGGTCGTCTGCCATAGTGAGGGAGGGCACGAATGAGCCTCTTGACCACTCAACTGCAGGATCATTGCACTGCACAACAGGTTTATTGCACTGCACAGCCAGTTCATTGCGCATAAAGCAGTTGCTTGCGGACCTCGAACAAATTCCCGAAGAAATGATCCCGAACAACTGGACTTTGTAGACCGTTGTTCCTCCCCCCCGAACTCACTCTCTAATTTCGGATCTTGAAACAAAAGATTCGGATCTTGTAGCACATTCCATTACCCTTATGCCAGGACTGGTCGGGGATGCTATACTTCATTCTTTCGACGTCCAGGTAAACCCCAGATTGCCTCTCCAACATACCCTGTCCCCGCCAAGCCATGCCCCTCGACCTTAAACCCTATAGCTACCCCTAAATATATAGGGTCCTTGTAATTTCCGTATGAGGGTTGACACAGTAGGTCTTGGTGGGTTAGGATAAAGCGTACAGATCCCGGCATCAATCCCCAGTTACCTGAGGGATCGGGCCCGCATTGCACGCTTCGCTGCCTCCTGCAGAGGGCTTGGCCGTGCACTGAGGGTTGACGGCTTTAGAATTTAATTCCTGAAGGGTTTAAGGCTTGGGATTTAGGATGGTTTGGGGCTTAGGGTTTGGGGGAGTTAAACATCAATCTCTGGAGGTTGTACCTCTTGATGGGGTAAAGGTTTAAAATAGCCCAAACGCCTTGTGTAGTATGGTCTTTTCGCCCAGAAGCCTTAAAATATGAGTCGTTAGAGCCTTAGGGGTAAGCTATCCTCAACCCCAAGACCTAAACAAATCTCCGAGAGACCTGGGTCCTGGTGTTCTACTAAAACAGCAAATTAGGGCGCCTATGTTGGGGTTTTGGATTTGGGAGATCACAGTTTAGGGTCTATGCCCTAAAGACCAAATGATCTTTGAAAGTGCAGGCCCTTTAACCTTCTACTATGAAATCCTATATGCTATTCTGAACCCTGAACCCCTTTTTAGGATTCGTTTCGTCTGTAAGGTGAGGTGTTGGTGCTCTGCAGCGCATGTTTCCAACTCCGAGTCGAGTAGGGGTCAGAGTTCTAAGCGAGACTTCAAAACCCTTCTGTTGCTATAGGGGCCTTAATAATTAGAATAGGGTTGTGAAAGCCCATTATACCATAGTTATAATAATAGTATGAGCAATTATTTAGGCTCTTATATTATTCCCAGACTCCCGGAAGGATCCAAAAATTAGATCAATTTAACGGGGTTCCTATAAAGTACCCCCTAGTAGTTGTAGAGTCCCAAACTAGGGGATCTACTTTCTAAATCCTTCCGGGGTCTGCGTGTAGGGGTTGGAGCCTCTGGGCTACTGTGGATGATATGAATCCTCTATTACCTTCAGGACCCCCAACTATGGGAATTATGTTATATTCCTTATTATGGGTAATGCAGGATTTATATCATCAACCGTATTATTATAAGGATTGGGGGCTTCTTGGTTTGGATTTAGGATTGAGGGCTCAGGGTGTAGGATTTACCCTTGTCGAGTCTTATGAGAGGTGCTCCAGGATTGCGTATGGGAGGTTCTTAAAGTTGGGGTACTAATAATATGCGGAATACGAAAAGTGAAGGAGACTGTAGAGCCAGGAGCCTGGATATGAATTAATTAGGCGGAGGTATTTTCCACAATTCAGGATTTTTAGAGCCTGTTGGAACTTGGACGCTCTACTGACTTGGTCTAAATAAACCAATAAATGTATATATATATATACACACACATATATATATATATATATATATGAATATATATATATATATACACATACATATGTATGTATATATATATATAGTTGGCAATAAGACGAACCATGGGGATGTGTTCTAAACCCTAAACGAAGGGATGGAAGAGGCGGTGGAACGAGTCTTGCGAGTTAAGCTGGAGGCCTTGCACTTTTCGCACCTCTTCCTAGGTTTAGGGTGTAGGGTTTAGGCTGTACCTACAGTCTCCATTGTAGTTCCTTTTTTGGGTTCACCCAATTTTATAGTAAGGATTGGAAAAAGTAACTCCAAAAAGGAACTACAATGGAGACTATAGGTAGGGCTCCCCCAACTCCGCCAAAGTAATGAAACGCCTGGACTTTTGAGTCTTCTTGAACCTGGCGGGGCAGCGGCAGATTGCCTCAACACCTCTTGGTGCAGTGCTGCACCTCCTTGGCCTATCTTGCTCTCGGCCGCATAAGGATTTCCAAAAATAGGGGACCCCAATATAGCCCGAAATAGTAGGATCCTTATTCTCAATTATAAGGACCCCCAAAATAAGGTACCACTAATTTTCGGAAACTCCCACATCTCTGCAACAGGTCAGTCCCCGATAGTGGCAGCGTGAGGGTAGCATTGCCGACCAAATACCCTAAACCCGAAACCCTAAAATCCTAAAACCCAAAACCCTGAACCCTAAACCCTAATACCTGAAAGATCACTCGCCAAAGATCGCCTGACTGGTGCTCGTCCTGCCTTGCGAAGCTTAGAGAGGGCTTAGGGGTTTAGGGTTTAGGGGTTTATAGGGTTTAGGGCTTAACTGGTTCGGGGTCCAGCGATTCAGTTTTTAATGTATTATAAGGTTTACGGTTTAGGGTACAGGGTATTATCAGGACCGCGTCCAAGAGTTCTTTCGTTTCCTCATTAGTGGATACTTAGAACGGAACTGTGGGCTCTGAGGTGAGCCCCAAACCCTGATCTCTAAACCGACATGATGGAAAAACCAAGTATGGCGTCCTCATGATTAGAATAACCTTGAAACCCAAACGCCCATCCGTCCTGACTCGCAACGCACAGGTTGCCCACGGCGCGTGCTGCCTGGTTTGCAGGACGACTGGCGACAAGAGCATGGGGACTTTGTGCATCGCCAATGCAAGCGTGCGATATTAGCAGCACCAATATGGGAAGCCAAGTTGCAACTGGTTACCGTTCATAATCACGAAATAATGGCAATAAAAATACTAGTTTCGGCTTGTCTCTAGGTGGGCGGGAGGATGCAGACCCCTGATTGACAGACACAGGCCGCTCCAGTACTTGGACTGTTCGTAAACGTCGCAATGCCTCAAAGACGAGGGGCTAATGAATCAGGGGTCCGCTCCAGATTCATCAGGAATGCTGCGTAAACATTCTATCAGCAGCATTCGTACTTTAGACAGGGCCCCCAACCAAACCCTAAATCATAGCCTCAGCCCCGAAGCCTGTGCCCTAAACCCTAAACCCTAAACCCGCCTGTGCACGGCAGCCATAGCTCTCGACAGCCAAGAGATGCACCAGCGGCGGAACCTCGAGCTCTCCCTATAGTCTCCGTTGTAATCCTTTTTTTCGGCTAGTCCTTTTTTTTGGTTAGGGTTGAGGGGTTTAGGGGTTTAGGGTTTGGGGGTTTAGGGGTTAAGGGCTCAGGGTTTAGGGTTTAGGGGATTCCTCAGTAAGGGGTCCTTGGAGGGATCCTTGGGATAGCGATCTACAAGGGTTCTACAAGGGATTCTTACGGCTGAGTGCTTCGGGTTTAGGTGCACTAGGGCTTAACTAGGGTTTAGGGTTTAGTGTTTCGGGTTTAGGTGCACGAGGGTTTTAAGGGTTTATTTGGGACTTCTGAGTCTTGGGAAACTACCTATCGTCTCCATGTTACTTCCTTTGTTTGGCTTAACCAATACATAAATAAATAAACAAATAAACATGTGTATGTATATATATACATATATATATATATTAAGGATTTTATAAGGTATCCCCACAAAGGGACTACAATGGAGACTATAGGTATAGTTGGTATGTACAAAAGCTTCTAAAGCGCAATGCCTCTAAGGTAAGGGATCTTTAAAGGCTCCGTGAAATTAAGGGACTTACAAGGTTTTCATGTACAGTTCTCTCTAAACTTAAGGCATCCATACAGGTTCCCTTAAGGGGGATATAAGGTACTTATTAGAATAGGGTTTAGGGGTTTAGGGCTTAAGGGTGGTAAAATGTTCTATAATAGGGTCCACTTCCATCTATAGGGTTCGATTGTAGGGTACCGTTGCTATTGTAAGGCTTTCCTTCCATGAAGTATGGCTTGGACCGTCTGTGTCTCGACAAGGACACTGAAATTGTTAATATCCACTCGCTAGGATTATTCATTGAAGCAGCACAGCCACCAAAAGCCGGTATCTTCCGGGCTCGTTCACTGGCCAGAGACCTACATGCACTCACTGACCTCCTATCATGATCTAGACACTGCCACTACCGCGGTGATTGCGACGATGAATACGGCTACAAGCCCTGATCTTACTGTGATGCCCACAACATGAACCACCTTTAGGGTTAAGGGTTTGGCGTAGGCACCAGCAATAACAAAAAGACGCGTAGCTACTTCGCGACCGACTGCTGTTGTGCCATGGCCACTATCACAACGTACGCCTGCTGTACTGCCAGCAGCAAGTAGTATCCAGCGGTAGGCGTCCGGAACCACCGAACCCTAAGCCCTAAAACGAGACTTCCTCCCAAAGCCCTAAACCCGAAAAAAAAATACAAACCCTTAACCCTGATACCTTAGGCATGGAACCAGAAACAGACCTGAAATACTCTGAGCGGAGAACGCCGCCGGCTTCTACGATACAGTGCGCGTTGCTCATCTCGCCTTGGGAACATGGCACTATGGGGCTCAGGGTAATTATTCTGGTACAGGATTTTGATTAAAGGGATTGGGTTTAGGGTGTAACATAGTTTACTGAACTTTGAAGAGACCGGGGAGAAAAAAGTATAGACTTTTATTACATGACATAACGGTTCCTTCAAGAACAGGTCCAAAAAACGCGTATTCAAGTCTGGTACTCCAGAACCGCAACTTCAACTCTACACCACAAAGCCCTATAACACGGTTTAGGGTTTAGGGTTTAGGGGTTCAGGGTTTAGGGTCCTGAAAAACATCACCCAAAGCAAGGCCTATGATGCCCTAAATACCCCCAAAGTACCCTAAATGCCCGACGACCGAAACCCAAATAGCTACAAAAGTTGCTATACCCGAACTAATCTAACTACCCGAAAGATTTAAGTTCCCTACACCCTGAAACTCTACCCTAAATCCTAAACCCCAAACCCTCAAATACCCTAAAACCTACCTATACCCTGAACGTGAAGGTGACTATATATATATATACATATATATGTGTTTATATTCATATCTGTATTTATATTTACATATACATACCATTATATATTTATATATCCTTCATACCCTAAAACCCCCTGAATCCTGAACCCTAAACCCTGAACCCCAAACCCTAAACCCTTATGAATCCTAAACCCCTAAACCGCTGACCTTAAACCCTGAGCCCTGAAGGGCTGACCCCCAAACTCCTAAGCCGAAGGAGGCTGCCCCAAACCCTTATAGGAGCCTTTAAGGAACCCGTTAAAGGAACCCCCAAAGCCCTATTCTAAGCCTTTAAAAGCCCAAAAACATCCCCTCAGCCAAGTTTCACATTGGCAGATTGGCGAGCGCACGCGCAGCATGCCTGGGACCGTAGGGTTTTAAGGCCGGGAACTGTGAAATCCGCAGCCCGAAGCTTCAACTCTGCACCACAAAGCCCTATAACACAGTTTAGGGCTTCAGGGTTTAGGGGTTTAGGGTTTAGGGTCATGGAAAACAACCAGGGTTTGGGCTTGTAGCGTTTAAGGTTTCGGGGTTTTAGGCTCAGCGTGTAGGGCTCAGGGTTTGAGAGCTTACTATAAGTAGGGCATATAGGGACTGTCTGGTGTTGGGCTATAGGGGAGGGTTCTATAGTTTAGGTTTCCGTCTGAAGTTTCGCGGGCCGTTGTAGAGGCCTAAAGAATTACCTATATTATTTTCGGGGCTCCTTACTAGAATTATCGTATAGTATACCCCCCAAACCTCATTCTAACTGTTAAGGCCCCTATATTATATACGTGCCGTACTTGATACATGTGTATTTAACTCTCCATCACTCACGGCCTTAAACCGTAAACTCTGCTCGTGCATACCCGGGGGTTTTAGGGTCACGCGTTTTTTTGAATGTGGGTTGTTCTCTGAAGTACGGTCCCTTCAAAGTCCTCAAAATAGTACGGCACCGTTTTGAAGAAGGACCCCAAAAGGGACTCTAAAGTCCTATAAGACCAGTATGTAAACCTTAGAAAAACCCTCAAACCCCAAACCATACGCAAATCCCTAAACCAAAACCCAAAGCCCTACACCCCTAAAACCCTCACCAAAACCCTCAAACCCTAAATCATATAAAGCCGGATTGCTCCCTGAGCTCCATGGTCTCTCCAGCAGCGACAGCCTCGCAATATTTTTGGTTGGGACCGGTGCCTTAGGGTTTAGGGTTTAGGGTTTGGGGTTTACGGAACAATCAAAGAGGCTTATCGGGGTTCAGACATCGGCTCGGTGAGGTTTCAGTCTTATACGTTCCGTTTCTTTTTTTATTGTACTGCGTATCTTTGTTGAGGTAAGGTCTTACAGAGACCCATAGGCTCCGCTGGGGTCGTGCGCAGGGCTTTATGAAGAACACATAGCAATTTATGGGTGGCTTCGGGATTTAAGGGTCAGGCTTCTTTCAGGGTTTCCGGATTCATGGCATGCCCGAGGATCCACAAACACTTGCACAGGAGCAACTGCTCAGAGTTTAGGGGTTTAGGGTTTAGGGTTTAGTGTTTAGGGTGTGTCAGGGACGTATCAAAGCTCTAATTATCACTGACCCTGAACTTGGGCGCAAGCTTGCTATTTAACCTATAGGAAAACCCTAAGCCACGAATGTTAAAACCACACGACAACCGGAGACCGAAAAACCTAAAACAAACCCTACGCTTACCTGCTTTCTTTACCGAAGTCATCGGCGTTTGCCTTGTCCGGTTCGAACCTTAGGAGATGTCATGGATGATCCTTGCTGAGTGGACAAATCCACACCGCAAACCGCTGCCGCACCGGAGGTCTTAGGGTTTATTTAGGCTTAGGGGGTTAGGGTTTAGGGTTTAGGGGTTTAGGGTTTATAGGGTTAGGGTTTAGGGTGTAGGGTTTATAATAGGGTTTAAGGTTTAGGGTTTTGGGTTTAGGGGTTTGGTTTAGGAATGTGACACCCGAGGATGCGCCTGAGAGGCCTGCTGTGCACCCCCACGACAGTGGGGTCCTTTTGAGACTGGACGCGGGAGGGTTTAGGGTTTAGGGTTTAAGGGTTTAAGGGGCTTAGGGTTTAGGGTTTAGGGTTTAGGGTTCAAGGGGCCTCAACACGGACCCCAAGAACTATGTGATCTCAGCAGCACTGACTTCCCTTTCGGCCAAAGTGCGTAAGTCTGCCGAAGCTGGGGCACGCAACATGGGACCCTGCACATCACCCCGGACCTTCATTCCAATCCTCTGCAGGGCTTTCAGAGCGTCCTCCACTCAAAGCCTTCCTCAGATATCAAAGATGGGCACAACAACCCCCAGTGCATACTTTATGCTACGAAGTCTTACGATTCCTGATTCCTAACTAACTATTTAGGCCCTATATCAAAACAGGCTACATGAGGAAGCCTCTGGGCTTGGGTTGTCAAGTTTGCAAGCAGCCCTACCAGCCAACCCTTAAAGCTTAAATAGCACAAAACCGCTAAACCCTACATCGACACACAAAATAAGCTTAATAATACCCTCAAAAGCCCTGAACCCTAGAGTAGTAGCCATAAAGTTGGAACATCATTATCCTCATGCCCTGAAGGTAGAGTTTAAGGGATTCTAGAACTAATCCTCCTAAAACCATGTTCCAACTTTCTGGCTTCTACTATATACCCCCCGCGGTGCCTCCACTAACAGAGGCACCGCCTCTGACATCCACTTCGAGGGGTGTTCGGCCTGCTGGGCATCCGCAGTTTTCGGGTTCTACGTTCTAGGGGTTAAGGTTTAGGGGTTTAGGAATTTAGGGTTTCGGGTGGGGTTTAGGGTTTAGGGTGGGGTTTAGGGCTTCGGGTGAGGTTTAGGGTTTAAATTGTGGTTTAGGGTTTAGGGTGGGGTTTAGAGTTTTGGGTGAGGTTTAGGGTTTAAATTGGGGTTTAGGGTTTAGGGTGAGGTTTAGGGGTCAGGGGTTTCCTTCAAGTTTCCTGTGAGGGCTGCGATCCTGCATGCCTTTACTTTCGGCTACAGAGCTTGGGGCTGCTCGGGTTTACGGACTCTCGGTTTAAGGTTCCGAGATCTTGGTTTTAGGGGCTTTTAAGCCCTAAACCCTAAACCCTAAACCGTGGGTTCAGGGTTTAGGGGAGCTTGTGGTTGTCCTGCATGGGCTATATCAGGACTTCGGGGAAAGGACCTTGCGGAGTTGGGGGGGGGGTAAAGAGCTTTTCGGCTTAAAAGTCTAGGACCGTGTAAGCTTCGGGCTTGGTTTAGGGTTTAGGGTTTAGGGTTTTACTTGGACTTGGTAAAGTAGAAGCTAGAAAGTTGGAACATCATTATCCCCATGCTCTTAAGGTAGAGTATAGGGAATCCCAGGGATAATCATCCTATTTCCATGTTCCAACTTTCTGGGGTTCACTATAATGGTGACAAATGTCACGGTGTAGATCATCCAAACTACGTTTGAAAAGGTTCGCGCGGAGCCGCCTCGCGCGCAGCATTTTCATGACTATGCAGGCTTACGGTTTGGTCAAGGTAACTATGAACCAAGTGGGAGAGATGATGTGTGATTCAAGCCACTGAGATCTGAAAAAATAACCCTGGTCCCCGTCCGATGGCCAGTTCCATCCTTGTGGCTTCAGTTAGGGTTGATGGTCCCTCTTGACTGACCACTCGACAATTGCAGCCTCCGTGGAGCGATGTGCCAGAGCAACTGATCCTGCGGCGGTGTGTCCAAGACTAGGACTGCAAAGAAGCGGTCTCATGAAGAATTGGCCACGCCGACCGTCACGACGTCCGTCGCGTGCGCCAGAGACGCACGACCTTTGACGCCAGCTCCTCCATCGTGGGTGCGATGTCGGGGTGGTTGGCGCCGAGCTTTGCGATAATCGTGGTGCGGGACTGCAGGAGCGCATTCAGGTCTCCGCGAAGTGCATCCCTGGTGCTCATCAGCGCACCGGAGATCGCACCAATCCTTCCGGTGTCGTCATCCGCCAGATGATACGAACAAACTGTCTGAATGGTCATCATGCGAGCACACTTCTGGGTATGTACTTCAGAGCGCCAAAATCACAAAGATCAGACTACTCATGACACGGGCAGGCATGATAGTTATCCACATCGCATTATACTTAAACCCTTTACGCCCAGCCTCGCTAAACACGAAACCGCAAGCCCCGTGCCGTACAGACCCAAAAACCCCAACCCTAAACCCTGAACCTTAAAGCCCCAACCCTAAAACCCTATAGACCTTAAACCCCAACCCCCAAAAGCCCCAACCATCAACCGCAATCAGGCTTGCACTTAAACGTTGAGGAAACCTTTAACCCCTAAAATGGCTAAGGGATCCTTGACGGATTGCTTGGGGGATATAGGAGGCTGAAACACATCAGCAATGATATCCCGTTTCTTTACAGTTCATATGTACTCACATTTATAGTCATATCATATATGCATGTATGTCTGTAATGCAATGTATGTGTATACCATATATATATATATACCTATATGTATGTAGTTAGTATGTATGTATGTATGTATTTATGTATGTATGTATGTATGTATGTATGTATGTATGTATGTTAAACTAGATCACCACTTTCAAGCCCCTAAGCCTCAACCTAAGCTCTGAACCCTCAACCCTCAACCCCAAACCCCTAATGTGGATCACATTACACCCCTACACCCCTACACCCTAAACCCTAAACCTAAACCGTAACCCCTACACCCTAAGCCTTACACCATGAACTCTAAACCCCACAACCCTTATAGAATCCTGAAGCCCTAAAGCCCTAAACCCTAAACTCTAAACCCTAAACCCTACTAAACTCTAAACCCCAACCTAAGCTCTAAATCCTAAACCCCAACCCCTACACCCTAAACCCTAAACTCTAAACCCCAACCTAAACTCTAAGCCGAAAAAAACCCACCTTCCGTCGAGCCATGCTGGCAAGGCCTGCTGCTGCCTCCGCTGGGTTTTGGGGTTTTGGGGTTTAGGGTTTTAGGGTTTAGGGTTTAGGGTTCAGGGTTTAGGGTGTAGGGGGTTGGGGTTTAGGGTTTACATCGTGTTTCTGATTCGATTTCAGAATTCCTGCTGAACCCTGCGAACCCCACATCCTAAGGACTAAAGAAACTGCGGAACCACATTTCACGAGAGCGGGGCGCACAACCTTGAATCGGAGGATGGGCTCTGATAACACAGGGGAAGAGTGGAGCCTTGAGAGTGATTCGGCTTAGGGTTTAGGATTTAGGGCTTAAGGTTTAGGGTTTAGGGTTTAGGGTTTAGGGTGTAGGGTTTCGGGTATCTTGCTTCCCCAGTAAGCCAGAGGAAGAAGGATAAACTTGCAGAATACTACGAAATGATAAGAGCCCAACAAGTTTTAAAGGTTGGGTATCGGGGAACCACGGTATATTTATATCATAAAGAGAACAAGCACCCTAAGAATAGGCCCAAACCCTAAACCCTAAACCCTATACCCTAAACCCTGAACCCTGGCTCTGAATTACTTGTTCAGGTTTCTGTTTCAGCCCGCAGGATCGTAGGTATTGTCATAGGGGATGCTTCCCCAGTCACGGTTTAGGGTTTCGGGTTTAAGATCTATCGTTTAGGGTTGAGACCGGGGTGAGGGTTGAGGGTTTAGAGATACCGAATATCGAAACCCTACATCCTACCATATAGGTACTTACCTACAGTCTCCATTGTAGTTCCTTGTTTGGGATAACAAGTTTTATATTAAGGGTCCTAAAAGGTAACCCCAAAAAGAAACTACAATGGAGACTATAGGTAGGACCCTAAACCCTAGACCCTAAATAAACCCTAAATCCTAAACCCTACCATGTAGGTACTTAGGACCCTTTAGGTAGCCACATCGGGGGGGCATAGGATTCTAACTTTTTCACCTGCCTAAGTTTGACACCATGGGCCCCTGCTACGGGCCCTTGATCCTGGGACCCTGATATACTTACTATATACCCTGTATACACCCTCAGGGGTCCCTGGAATCCCCCCTTGAAGGCCTAAAGGTCCAAAGAAGGGGTCGCTACTTCTAACCTTAGGTACTGCGGGTCGGGCTCGGGGAGATTCCCTAAGGGTCCATGTGCCCAAGTAGTATGTACTTTGGCCCCAAAGTACCTTCATAGGGACTTCTGTAAGGCCAAAGTATGTAAACCCTAAACCCTAACCCCTGAACCCCAAACCCTAAACCCTAAACTCCTAAATCCTAAACCCTAAACCCATAAATCCTAAACACTAAACCCTGCGCAAACCCTATACTATTTGGGTACATGGGCCCTCAGAAATGGGGGAGCATCCGTCAGTCGAACAGTCGCGGGCTTCAAGGGGTTAGGTCTTTAAGGGCTCCTGTAATAGAGGGACCCATAAGGGTAGTTCTGTAAATTAGGCTCCCTTTTGAGATCCTTTTTATAAGGGTGCCGTATTATATTGGGGGCCCAAAAAGGGACCCTAGTTTAGAAACTACACATAAGGATTCTATAAAAGGACCATTTGGGACACCTGGAGCCAGGGGTTGCGGGGCTGGATTGGGTGTCCATCGACCTCTTAAAACCCTACCTGAACCGCTGAAAGCTTGCTTTTTGAGGACTCATGGAAGGAATCCGGGTCTGGAGGAACAGATGGGGTTTGGCGTTAAAATAAGCCCTAAACCATGTAAACTATAAGCCACATGGGTAGTTGTCAAAATTATGGTCCCTTTTGGGGTACCCTAAATAATAGGTGCCGTATTATAACAAGGACCAAAAAGGGACCATAATTTTGAAACCACCCACATGCATCTTGCCTGCTGCTGATCTATCGCACGGCCGTGGCGCAACCTCCAGCCGGTGGCATCTTCGAGGGATGCTAAGGGGATATGACTTGTTGGCTCTACGCTTACGGCATGAACGTATTACGAACCCGAAGGAATAATTAGTATGGCCAACTATTCCGGGCGTTAAAAAGGGCACAAAATCAATTGGCAAACAAGTTGACCCAACCCCAACCCGAAAGTGAACACCCCCGATGCCCTCAACCCTAAATCATGACCAACCCCCCAATCCCTAAACCCTAAACCCTAAACCCCTAAACGCAAACCCCGAACCGCTAAACCTAAACCCCCCAACCCTAATCCCTAAACCCTAAACCCCAAACCCCTAAACCCCTAAACCCCAAAACCCAAACCCCCAAACGCTAAACCCCGAAACCCCTAAACCCTAAACCCCAAACCCCTCAACCCCTAAACCCTAAATCCCAAACGCCTAAACCCCTAAAGCCTACAACCTAAACCCTAAACTCTAAATCCTAAACCCCTAAACACTAAACCCCTAGACCCCTAAACCCTAAACCCTAACCCCTAAACCCCTAAACCCCTAAACCCCTAACCCTAAACCCCTAAACACTAAACCCCTAAACCCTAAACCCTAAACCCCTAAACCCTCAACCCCAAACTCCTAAACCCTGGATCTTCAGCCCCAAAGCACCGGCCGAAGTGCGCAGTTTGTAGAAACCTTTGTAGAACCCTGGTTCCCTGTTGGGGGGTTTTAGGGTTTAGGGTTTAGGGTCTAGGGTTTAGGGTTTAGGGTCTAGGGTTTAGGGCTTAGGGTCCAGGGTTTAGGGTTTAGTGTCTAGGGTTTAGGGCTTAGGGTTAAAGATGAACATTCTTTGGCTATATAACAAGAATTTGTGAAACTGTATTCCAACAAGGACCCAGGAACCCTGAAAGAGTCGTAATAGGGGGGCCTTAATTATTAGA